CACCGGCATGGCAGGGTGCTGGACGTCTCGGGTACATCCTTGTCAGGCTGAGGAATCTTTGTTGAAAGTTTGGAAGTGCTGTAGGCAGCATGAGATTACATGGCAATCGATGCAAGCCGTGAACTGGGAAGCGACACAGCTTTTTTGTCTGGAGGAGGGTTGGAGGCTTTTTGCATATTGTGTGGGATTTATAAACAAAACTTACTCCAGTGTGGGCTGAACCTTTACTTTATCCCATTAAAATATGGGGTGGAAACTAGCTTTTTAGACTTGATCCTCATAATCTGTGTTGAGAGCTGGTTGTTTTTGCGACCCGAGACTTCTGATTTGGTTTGGAGTTCCCATACATGGACTTTCCATCTCAGCTGAGCACCCTCAGTGATTACTTTGCCATTTTTCTCTGCAAGCATTAAGGAAAATTTGATGTACTGCTGGTGTCACCTGCAGAAAATCCTGTTCCGTGACCTTAAAATGCATCCCAACTTCAAACCTGCTGTCAGGAGCTTGAGAAAGTCTTTGCTGATGTCCTCTCTGTTGTATCATCCAGGCTTGTTGAAGGCTGCATGTAAATTGGTCTCTGAAAACGGTTTTCTGATCTCAGCCACAAATCTGATTATGGTTACATTAGGGAATGGAAGCATGAGAAGCTGGGTCATCGCTTTAAATTTTAGTATTAAAGGTCAAGTTCAGTTGATTTTTTAATCCTTTGACAGCAGCAGCAGCAGCGGCTGCCTTCCATCTCATACACCTGCAACTTCATGTGTGTCTACCAAGGCATAGGCAAGATCAGGCACCAGCAAGGCCAGGCTTTGCTTCTGGGACTTTTCTGGGCAAAAGAGGCAGGAATGTCTCAGCTCCCAGTTTGTTTTAAGAAGAGAGCCTGGAGCCACTGTCGCTCAGTGGGACCCGATGCTGCTGCTTTATTCTTGCCACCAGCAGGACGCTGGGGAGCCCCAGTGCTGTGCACAGACCTGTCCTGGGTGGGAGCGATGGCCACCTCGCTGGTGGGGATCAGCGCCTGGAAACCCGTGGAGAAACACCCCCAGGCTTCGGTGGGAGTGGGGCCAGCGTCCAGGCTGTGCCAGCTCACCGCCTGTGGGACGAGGACATGGGTTTTGGGCGGGCACGAGGTCATGTGCTTCAAAGTGTAGTGAGGCTCACGCGTGGACTCAGAATCATGGAGTGGTTTAGGTTGGAAGGGACCTTGATGATCACCTAGTTTTAACCCTCCTGCCAGGGGCAGGGACACCTCCCGCCAGACCAGGTTGCTCAAAGCCCCGTCCAGCCTGGCCTTGAACACCTTGAACACATTGTCTTGGGGATGTGCAGCAGCTCAGGATGCCACCAACGATGTTGTCGGCTTAATATTCATCTCCTGTGTTTGCAAATCTTGGCGTGCGCTGCAGATTCTTCTGTTAGCATTTTGGGGCTATTTCCTTCAGTTCCTTATTAAAATGCATGTGTTTTTCCTCATTTAAAATGATCATCTGTATCAAAAAGCTAATGATCACAATACCTGGCTTCCTTTTCCCCAACAAAGATGACAGCAGTGATATAAATCATTATGTTGCTGATTGTAAAATTGCTACCTTCAGGCACGTCTTTATTTTAGGGTTGGGTTTTTTGGCTGCCACAATTTACAAGAGAAAGACAGTTGGAAATTTTCTCCTTTAATATGTAGTTTTCACAGCTCTCAAGTCTTTTCATCGAGTCAAGCTGCTTTGGCTGCCAGGCTGGAAAGAGCAGAAGATTAAAGTGCCTTTTTTTTTTTTAATATGCAGCTGTGCATATAAGTGTATTGTGGCTTTCCCGAGGTAAGATAAAGTCATAAAGATTTCCTGGTGGGCTTTTGCATTGCTCAGCTATTTTGGTCCACGCTGCAGTAGACAATGAATATCCTTTCCTCGGGACATTTTGCTTGCCTGTTATAAGCCACCATCACCTTCCTGCGGTTCCTGGCGTGGCTGTTGTGGGACTGTGGACCCTCCTGGCACCGAGGTGCAGCAGCTCCAACAGGGCTGGTCCGTGCAGGGTCCCGCCGAGAGTTTGGAGCCAGCTAGTTGCTAGTCTTCAGAGTGAAATTCCTATGGGATTTTAGTACAGCATCGTATGGAAACACTAAGGACTGGGTTTGTTTTTTTTTTTCATTTTTTTTTTTCCCCCCCCTCCCACCTATGTGGGGAGACGTAAATGCCTGTCTAGAAAAATCAGGAGCTGCGGAGAGTATCAAAAACGCCACCATCTGCCCACCTCCCAAACAGCCAAGGTCTGCGCTCGGCGAATGACGACAGCGGGCCCCTATCAAGGGTATGGCTTGTATTTAATTCTGCGTTGCAATCCCTTTAATCTAGGATTATATCCAGTTGTTTTCTTCATGCAGGGTGTATGCTGTCAGATAAAAGCAATAGCAGCTGGGAGGAGAAAGATGGCTTTGAACAGGGGCTGAAAACCTCAAGTATCTGCAGATGTGTTTGTCAGAGGCATGAACCTATCTCACGAAAAAAAAGTCCAGGCAGGTGCAGGGGCTGACAGGACCCTCCAGCTCTGATAGATGAAGACCCTGGGAAGGCAACCGGTTGCAAATGAAATAGTAATTGCTTTCCCCTCGCTGAATGAAATCTTCTCTGAGGCGATTACACAGATTAAAGCTTCCCACTGCAATGTACCAGAATAAATATAGCCTGCACCTCTTGCGAGGGCCGCTGCGGGGTGCCTCGTGCCAGAACGGTGGGGTAGATGGAGTCAAGAGTAGAAATCCTGGAAGAACAAGGCTGGAAGGATCGCAGGCTACCTGATCATCTTCCTCCCTTGAAGCAGGACTGAGTGTACCCAGGTCATTCCTGGTGGTGTTTGTCCGGCCGGTCCCACCGGGGATGCAGGGACACGGGCTCCTGGGCCACCTCCTCCCGTGCATCTGCATCCTTACTGGGACAGGTCTTTTTCCCCAGTACCCAGCCTGGCTTCCTTGCTGTAAGGCATGCCTTTGATTTCTTGTTGTGGACACAAGGAATTAATTATTTTCTTCTTTGCAGCAGATTATTCTGTACTTTGAGGGCCTCAAAGCCTCTCCTTCACCGAGAGAGCTCTGCGGGTCCCCCAGCCCTTCCCCAGGCCCACCTCTCTTGCCTTGCTCCTGCTCCCCTTCTCGGGGGTCCCGGGTGGTCAGTGCCAGTTGGGGTGCCCCTTCCCTGCTCCAGGGGAAGGAGGGTGCTCCCTCTGCCTCTTCCCTTCTCTACCCACCTCTGTCTGATGCTTTGGCTTTTTTTTTTTTTTTTTTTTAACACCTCCCTTTGGTTGTGCTCAGCCTGTAGTCCACTCCACCGACAGCTGAATAGCGTTGGGCAAAGGGTTTAATGCACCCCCAGCCATGCACTTTGCGTGTTAAGTTAAACCATTGCTCTCGGTAACGGGTACATTTTGCCAACTTGATAATTGGTTGTAGATGCCACTTTGACCGAGGTGCAAGGGGAGACTTTGCCATGCCTGCACAAAGTGCTTTTCCTTTCATATCACAGCATGATTTAACTACCTGGCGTTGTTAGTGTTGTTTGATTAGGTTACGTGCTATGTAATTCCAAGTACAGTGTGTGCATGGTAGTCGCATAACACAAATTAAAAATCTCAGAAGTACAGGAGTCATACATGTGAGAGTCACAGAGATGCTTTTCCACTCTAATTAGCTCCTTTTCAGAAGAAAAGAAAAAAGCATTTAAAAAAAAAAAAATGCAGCTCCCTTCAGTGTGTAGTAAAAGATAATGCCTTGTGTGGGCTTGGACAGTGCCACATGACGGAGCATCATGCTGGGTGGTACAAAGCTGTGTCTCCTCCCTGCAGCAGTTTGCTCCCGTGAAGAGTCTGGCTTTTTTTAAGGTCGATGGCAAACGTGATGTGGGCAAGCGCAGGTACGGCAGGAGGGGGTGCCCTCTCCTTCCCCCGCACCCAGCTTGTCCAGACCCCATCGGTGTGAGCTTGGGCTCCCCTCCCAGAGCTCAGCATCCGTCTGTGCCCAAGGGATGCAGCCTTGTGTCCTTGACACAGCCCCTGCAAAGAGGCTCCTGCCTCTTGGGGGTTATCACGTGAAATTATTTGAGTTACGAGTACCTGGGGGCACAGGCTGGTGCGGTTTTTCTTTACTTCCATTGCGCACTGAGCGGTACAGGGAGGCCGTGAGAGTCCTGTTATTGGCAGCAAAAATAAACCCTGGAGCTGACCTGGGTGCAAATGGGGCAAGGCAGGTCCCTGGGAAGCACAGACTGCTGCAGCGGCATTTGCAACCGAAGAGATCTGAGTGAGCTGTAGGGGAGCACTCAGTAGCGCTTTGGATTGTGAAGGTGATCTCGGCACCGTCGCCTCCTATCAAGTGAATTAGCAGGAAAAAAAAGTATTTCTCTGGCTCCATGCTAGTTAATTAAGGGCCTGTTGCTCTTGCCAGCAGTTCAGGCAGAATTTGATGTAGTCAGCTAAGTTGGTTGCTTAAGTGATGAATGCTGTTATGCCTGTTTTTCCTCGAGTCTAAATTTCTGTGGTGTAAGTAACAGGATGGAACGATCTGTTGCTGTCTGCGGAGAGCTGATGAGAAACGAGCGGTGGAGGTGATGGGGAGACACTTCAAACTGGCAGGGGATCTGCTGGGAGACCTGATGGTTCTGCTGCAAATTGTGAGGGCCAAGGCTGTGCCAGCGACTCGCTCGCCTCGTGCGGCACGCTCGATAAACAGCCACCACAGGCTCCGCACCTGCTTATTAAACTGTTTTGAAGAAAATAACCTTGACATCTAGTTTATCCGCTCGCAAAGGACTGCGGGTTTGTGTCTGACTCTCTAAAGAATAAAAATCTATGTTTGTGTCTTGGGGATAAATTTTTCTGTAGGCTTTTGCATATCCAAAAGCCTCAATGACTTGAAGTGATGGTGTAACGGTGGACTTTTCCTTCTGTCTGAACTGCTGGGCGATAATGGTGGATGTAAATTAGTACATTTAGAATGGAATTTGTTTCTGTAAGGGTGCAATGATTGTATAATTGCTGTCTGCTAAAAAACGATGAAAATCAACTATCTTTCCCTTGGTATAATGAATTTAAAAGGAAAAAATAATACTGAAGTATCACTGTGAAACAGAGGTAGGCACAGCTGAACCCCAGGCTTGGTGCGCTGCTGTGTTTGGGCAAGGGTTATTAACTTTTTCAATCAAAATCTCCATTTAGGAAATCCTCAGCTTTGAGGGGGCTGTAGAGAGGTGGCTGTAGGAAGCAGAAACCTGAACAAGTAGGTTGCCCAACAAGGCCTTTACAGACTACAAGCAAGAAGATTTTTCATGTGCATTTAGCTGGGACGCAATAACTATTCTTAGTGGCTGCTTGTTACAGAGGTGTGCAAATGAAGCTAGATAAAGCCCTAAAAAAACCCAAAACCTTTTGAGGCTCTCCTTTTGAGGAGAACAAGCCCATGTTCTTCCATACATCCAGTTTTCTCATGGATCATCTTCTGTTTCTTGTTGTATTATATTCTGATTCTAAGCCCTTGTTTTTCCATGCCTACACTTTTCTTGTGAACTATCTTACGTTTCCACTGGTGATAGGAACGCAGCCCACGTGCCCCATCCCAAAGACGTTGGCGGTTGTTGGCAATAGCTGTTCCTGGCGTAGCCAGAAACGCTGCAGTGGCCACCTGGTTCCTTCCAGCTTGCTCCCAAGGACTGGAACCAGCCGTAACATGGACACCGCACCAGGGGTAGGCTGATGGCGTTGGTGACACCTCGCTGGCCCTTGCCTCCCCATCCCAACCGGGATCCAGCCCTTCTTTGGAGCCTGTTGAACTCTGAGCCCTGGCTGTGTTCTCACGCTCGCGGCAGCGATCGTCTGCGTGGTACAGCTGCTGGGGCTGACTTGATGCAGTTCTGTACTTATCGAAGGCGATGATCGAGATGGGAGGCTTTTTGGCTTCTTGGCCGCTGTCAGTAGTTCCTATTAACACTAATGGAAATCACGCTCTGGCATCAGCTGCACAACACCCCCTGCACGGTGCCTGACAGCCTGATGCTGCAGGATTCGCGGG